AAATTAATTTTATCACTTATCAATATCACTTTTATTAAAGACATATTTATTTAAGTCAGATTGTGACGATCTTTTAAAGATAGTCCGTTCTCACAATCATCGTGTTAATTTATTATATTTTTATGATCGTTTTCCACTAGTTGATTCATAATTGAGAAAATTTGTGTACAACTATGAGTCGAGTAGTCACTTTAACATTTTATTGGCTTATGGTCCTTAATTTGAGCATTATGTCTAGCACTCCTTAAGTTAATGAACTTTCGTTGTCAAATGTGGGGGTGGGGTGGGCCTGATAAATTGATTTCCTCGAGTAATATTCATGTTTTTTGACATGACTAGTTGAGTTTTATCCATAATTAAACGGCAAGCTAACTAGATCGTTTATAAGGATCGATAATAATAGTAGATTTTGACATGACCGGTCGAGCTATGCCCATAAGTGGAAAATCAACTAGCTAATAGAAGTGCTGGTGGGTTCAGTAAGGCCCCAATTGTTTGAGTTGTAAATTTTTTTAACCCACACCATTCTAATTAAATAACTGACCCGACCCGACCCAACCCAACCCAACCCAACCATAAAGTTTTTGGATCGGGTTAATTAGGATTGTTAGATCATTTATTCAAAATTTTATTTTTAATAAAAGTAGAAGGGTAGTTGGTAAAATATCTATTTATTTAATTTCAAATATTTAATTAAGATCCGTTAAATATAAATTTTTTTACATTACTTTCCAAATATTTAAAAATTATTGAAATAATAATAATAATAAATTAATTATTAAATTAAATATATATATATATTAAAAATAGCGGTGAGATCCACATCGGTTAAAGAAGAGAACGAAACATTTTTTTTGTAAAGATGTGAAAACCTCTCCCTGACGCATTTTAAAAACTTGAGAGGAAGCCCGAATGAAAAAGTCCAAAAAGAATAATATCTACTAGTGGTGGGGTTGATTCGTTACATCAAAAATAAATTCAGGTCGTTTCGATTCAACCTAATTTAGTTTTAAGAGAATTCATAAACTAGCCTAATCTAAATTTTTTATTTATTTGAATGGGTTGGGCGAGCTGATCGAATTTTTCGAGTTATTAAGTTTCTCGAATATTTTTACTAGACAAATAATTTATAAGGATCGAATGCGATGACTCAGCTGGTTGCATATCCATACAAATAATAATAATAATAATAATAAATAAATAAATAAATAAATAAAGGTCCAATATAATGGGATAGTGTTTATTGATTTGAATGTGGAATGTGGAGAATACAAGTCCATTATACGTTTAGATTCGATTCCTTTGTGACAAAATCATGTCCTAACTAGGCTCCACTCTCTATAAGCTTGAAATTATTAATTTATTGATTAGGTGGACAACTAGGCTTCTTATTAACGTAATCCACATTAAACCTCAGTTATAGCTTCTCATTATTTTCATTTAATATTATTTAATTCGACGTTTTCGAGGTGGCACCACCTAAACAAATTCGCTTGCAATAATGTTGGAGACGGTTCGAGAATGTACTGTTGACCCATGCATATTGACAAGGTTTGTGAGATCCCATATCGATTGGAGAGAGGAACGAAGCATTATTTATCAGGGTGTGTGAAAGCCTCTCCCTAGTCGATACATTTTTAAAACTTTGAGGGAAAGTCTGAAAGGAAAAGCACAAAGAAGAAGATATTTGTTAGCGCTAGGTGGGTTTGAGCTGTTACGATCTTATTTACGAGAGTTAATAGAATTTTAGTTTCGTTGAGGATGTAGATCTCATTTAACATATCTCGTTATGTTACCCCATCGTTGGGATCGTTTCTTTTGGCACTAGGACAAAAATGGCATTTATTCGATTAAAAGTGGGTATAAACTGACACCGTCTACTTCTCAGGAAGTATCATTTTCCTTTAGTCAAGTGATGAACATGACAAAGAAAGATCTGATTTTTAAAATAATTAAAAAAAACTCGACAACCTAATTCAACCCAATTCAACTCGAAAAATAAAGGTTTAGGTTAGGTTGAGTTGAGTTGTGATCTCTATTCGGGTTATTCAAATTTTTGGATTGATCCAAATATCAAATATTTACAAGTTACAACGCATCACTAACACTCAGTTTAAATCGAAAAAAAAAAAATGTGATCCATAATTTGAGTTAAATAGTTGGAATGGGTGTGAAGATATAAAAACTAATCCTTCCACTAAATGCCCCTAAAAGCTAGTAGGCACATGAATGGTGAATATAATAACAATATCATACAAATGGGCTGCGCTAGACAGCTACGAAACAGCACCAAATATATATTTTCATTCATTACATCACATTATCATAATGCTTTCTTCCTTTATTTATTTAATTCCAAACTATAAATTTCCATTTTAATTTACCAACTTTCATACCCCTCCACTTATACCAAAATTTAATCATTTAATTATAAATTAATAAATTTAAATATCGACCCTAAATTTCTACCTATTGAGAGCGGCTATTAACTTTTTATGCTCATCTATAATGTAGAATATAACTGTTAAATGCTTGTCATAAATAACAGGAAATTTAAAAACCCAGCTAGAAAAACACGACCAAACTTGCGTGTTTCAAAACATAATGCTGATGAAATAATTTAAATAAAATAACAATAGCTAACTCGAGCAAATTATGTTTTTTTTTTATTATTATTGAAATGTTATATGTAAAGATATTTTAAAAACTCGATAAACTCAATCCAACCTCTACGATTTGAGTTGGATTAGAAAATAATTTTTTAAAATATATATTAAAATTGAGTTGTAAGTTTTAATTAAAATGTTTGAAAATAAGTAAATAGATGATATCGAAATTAATATTATATATTTATTAAAAAAAATTGAATAATATAGAGGTTTAATAGGGTTTATATTTATTGAGTTCTGATTGTATTTTGGACCTACCTTTTTGGGCCAATTTCCTATTTTAGGCCCATTATTTCCACAATGGGCTTGGGCTAGTTTCGATTCATTGCCCAATTACTTTAATGAATAAAATAAATAGTCCAATTTATTAGTTAATTTAATTAGAGAAGCCTTAATTTGTAATTGATCACAAAATTAACAAGTAATTATGTTATTAATTTAAAATTAACATTACAATTTGTGATAAAAAAAAAAAACAAATTCTCTTATTTTTTATTAAAAATTTGATAGCTATTTATTTTTTAATTTTTTATTTTTTAAAAAATCTCCTCTTTTTACATTCCCTCTTTTAATTTCGTTAAATAACAAAAAAAAAAAAAAAAAAAAAAAAAAAAAAAAAAAAAAAAAAAAAAAAAATCAAAAATTACGATAATACNCTTCATGTATTTAAAGTTAATATATGGACGAAAACTATTTATCTATATTATTAGATAAATCATTTATTTTCCAATCTCTAATATTTTCAGAAATCAATAAAGTTTTCACCATAATCGTAATAATAATAATAATAAAATAATAATAATAATAATAATAATAATAAATCGAGGAGTAAAAGAATTAGAGTAAGGGAGTATTGAAATATTAAAAGTATCGATGCAACTTTTAAAAGTTTATCAACGTTTCTTTAAGCTATTATAATTTATTTTTTTAAAAAAATAGTTGTGAATCTAAGATTGCAAAATTGAAAAGGCATTTAAAAAAAAAAAAAAAAAAACTCAAGTCGAACTATTTAAATATTAGATTGAATATAAAGTATTATTAATTAAATTAAAGTTGTATATTATTATTTCGTAATATCATATATTATATAATACCTACTTTAAATATCATTGTATATAGTACTTTATATATATAATACCATCCTAAGTTTATCGAAAACCACACTCACTAAACTTTGGAAGTAAAATAAATTTACCATTAAATTATCTAACAATGGAGTTAAATTATAGATATTTTTTAGTCAAATTTTGGAGTCGCGACTAGAAATGTCCATGGGGCGGGATGAGGATAGATAAGTGTTCTTGTCCCCATCCCCGCTACTTCTTTCATGTCTCGGGGTGGAGATTCCCCATTTATTTAAGGAAAAAAATGTTCCATACTCTCTCTTCCATTTTCCGTCCAAGATGAAATTTCTCTCTCCGTTCGAAGTGGGCCTCCGACCATGTGAGTAAAATGGACACTTTTGCGTAAGACGATTTTTCATTAAAAAAAAACAAACTTATTTAAATATTAGTGGAAATTAAAATATAAAAATAGGGGAACTATCATGATTTTTTAAAAACATTTGAAAAAGTATATTAAAAAAATTATATCTCTCCATCTCCATTATAACAGAAACTTGAAAAGAAAAAAAAAAAAGTTAAAAAAAGAAAAACGTGGCCTAAAAAAGTTAATAAAATTGGCGTCTCTATTATTCAAACAATTAACAAATAAATAAATGAAATTCTATATTTAAAAAAAAAAAAAAAAGGAAAAGAAAAAGAAATAGTCTGGTTTGGTCTATCAGAATATTTCTAACAATAATAAAAAAAGAAAGTAAATGTAAATTCTTTTATTACTTCTTTTAAAATTTTATCGGAAAAAAAGCAAAAAAAAAAAAAAAAAACCCGGTAACTGAACTTTCCGGGTCGGTTCCTGGGCCTGGAGAAACTTAATTGGGCCGTGGGTTTGGGCCTTAGGAGAGATAGACCTCTACGCTGGAACTTCGCTTGGAAGGGCATAACGGGCAAGTCTGAGCCACTTGGTCGCAGACTGTACAGAGGCAGAGATGACGGCAGGGCAGAAGCAACACCGACGCCAACCGCTTTCTACACGCTTTGCAACTCGGTCCCAAAATCCTGACTCGGTCCGGGTCGATATAAGCCGACTCGGCGTCGTCGGTTTGTCCTTCGGCGCCGGCCGTGCCGCCGTCTCCTCCGTCGCATCCGCCAGACATCGCCTGTTTCAGTTGTGCCTGGAGAGCTAGAGCGGTGGCTTCCTGTGCCCTAGCCTTCGCCTGCCAGACCTGCGCCTCGACACTAAGCTGGGCGGCGCGTGCTTCCAACTCGGCGTTTCGGCGCGTGGCCTTCTCGACCTCCGCCTCTTTCTCTCTTAACCTTCTCGCTACCGATTCCTCTACTGCATCCAGAAGTGCACGGTAGTGTCTCTGTCTTTTATCTGCCAAGGTGAGCCGTAGTTGCTCTTCCTGTTTTGAAATGAAACCGGAGTTCATTGAGAAAAAAAAAGAAAAAATCAAGACGAAAGATGAAACTCGTTTCCTGTGTTAGGGAGAGTGAATTAGCACCTGTGCTTGAAGGAATTGATCTATTTCGTCTTGTTGCCGTTTGAAATTTGAGGCGAAATCGTCTGTTAATAGCGATATGAAAGCCGATGATGATTGACGAACGAGATTGTGGTTATGATTATGTTGTTGTTGTTGTTGCTGCTGCTGCTGTTGCTGTTGCAGCGGTTGATTCTGTTGATGATTACCGGAGGACAATCGGAGACCGGTGGAGACGACATTGTTTTGGTGATTGTGAAGCTTGGCGAGATCAACAAGAAGAGGAGGACGAGGCTGCTGTATCGCAGAGAGATCGATTGGAGTCGCGAAGGTTGCTGTGGAAGTCGCCATTTCTCTTCCTCTCTTCCGAGAATTGTTTCCTGCTTTCATCACAAACCGGACTGATGAATCGAATCCTCAAAGGTACGTCGTCTTCACAACTCAATTGATAGAAATACTTTCAGCGTTTATAAACAGAATAGATCAAACACAATGCACAAAAATCTCACCTATATTGTTGTTGAACACCATATGAGTCTGGTCAAGAAAACCTCCTGGTTGTATCTGCAATGAATAATCATGCGCTTCTTGACCATTTCTAAAACAAACCAAAATCCAAAATCCAAAATCCAAAATCCAAAACCATTAGGAATCAACAGTAAGTAGAGAAATAGAGATTAGAGGCAAAAGAGAACGGGTATACCTATTTAAGAGCAAAACATTTGAAGGATATTGAGCTTGAACAGCCATGGAGAAAGGAGGAATTGTTTGAAGAAATTGGGCGTGTTTATGGAGATTGGGAATGAAGGATGATGATAGATAGCAATAATAATAACAATAATGAAAGGTAGCATAAGAGAAGCATGAAAGACAAGGAAGATGCTCAAGTGTTTAGACTAGACGAACTGTTGAATAGGAGAGAGAGAAAGATAATGAATTCATGTCCTAATCTTCACCATTCTTGCCTTCCTCACCATCTTTTTCACCTACTTTTTCTTCCTGGTTTGGTTTTATGATGCTTTCCTTTACCTGTAAAACAACAAAATTTGTTTTTATTTTGAATGGTAATTACAAATCTCTTCCTTTTTCTCCCTCCTCTGGTTACGTGTGATATATATAGGGATGGGGAAATAAAGAAAGGTAAAGATAGAGAGAGAGAGAGAGAGAGAGATGCGATTGAAAGGAATCAGTCCAACATAGACACGCCCTGTTGCCCTTATTATTCTTCTCTTCTCGTGGGGTTGGAATTGGAATTGGAATTGGTATTGGTATTACCTTTTCTCGAGAGATTACTATCTTTCATCATTTTTTAAAAAATCCTTTTATTTTATGTTTTTTAAACTTTCCCATCTGTCCAAACTGATTTTCATGTTTATTTTTCTCCCTATTTTTCCTCGCCAAAATAGATTGATTAACAAGTAATGAATGAAGAGGGAAAAAAAAAAAACAGTGGTTGTGCGCGTGCACTAGTGTGCTTCTTTTCCCATCTCCACCCGCTAGACTCAATTCGGTTTTAAAGTGAAGGTTCTAGCTCGATTCAAGACTAAGTTTAGCAAGTTTGATGCACTATTTAGGTTTGAATTGGATAGACTCGACCTTGGATAGCCATGTGCATGTCCCATCTTTAAACTTGAATCATTTGATCCTAGTTTGGGTCGAGTCTAGGCTACCTCATTGTTTTAACCTATTCAATATTAATTATTTATTTAAATATATTTATCCTACGTGATAATCATAATTATTGATTTTACACATACAAAATATCATTTAGTATTTTGTTTTAAAGATTTTATATTAACTAAAATCTATAACATCTATATTACAAAGCTATATACACATACATATTTTGGGTTGGCTCAATGATAAATATCTTGGACTAGCTTGGTGGACCGATTCAAATACGATGTAAACGGGTTGACACATGGACTTGCATAATCTTTAAATAACGCTCTATACCTAATCCAATGAATTGAGTTGGTTGGGTTGGGCTACGTATCTAGTCTAATAAATAAATGAATTGGGTTGGGTCGGGCGGGTCAAACTTTGATTTTGGACTGATTTTGGACCGAGTATGAGCTGAATTTGAGTGACCTTAGGCTATAGGCTCGTTGGTGAGGCTGAGTTGTTTACAAATAGGCCATAGTCTTTCTCGAGTGGGACAATAACTTGACAAAACTATGCAAACCACTGAAAGCATTTTGAAGTGAAGAGTTTTTTTTACCCTTTCCTTATGGGTAAATTATATTTGTAGTTAAAGTTATTTCATTTTAATTTCTATGCTTGCCATCACTCTTGTTTTTAGAATATTACGAATGTTCATGCAATTTTTATGGACCCAATGGATAGGGTGTTCAAAAAGTTTATGAGCACCTTCATGAACGTGTTTATTGATGATATTTTAATCTATTCCAAGTTAGATAAGGAACACAAAGAGCGTATGGATAGAGTGTTGACTACTCTTAAGGCGAATATTTTATATGCTAAATTTTCAAAATGTGAGTTTTGGCTTCAACAAGAGTCCTTTTGGAATGTGGTATTAGAGAGCGAAGTATTAGTAGAGCCTTCAAAAGTAGAGGTGAGGATCAAATGGCCTCGTTGACCACTATCTTTGAGGTGCCTAGTTTCTTAGGGTTGGTAGGTTACTATTATCGGTTTGTTCAAGATTTCTCCAAGATAGCTATACCCTGTACTTAGTTGACTAGAAAATGGAACTTGCGAGAAGAACTTTTAGGCACTCAAGAAAATATTGCAGCATCTGACGCAGCTAGAGGTTTTGTTGTTTATAGTGATTCGTCTGAGGAGTTAGATTGTGTGTTGATGCCATGACAAGGTCGTCACCTATGCTTCAGCATATAGTTGAAAGACTATGAATGCAATTACACGACACATGATCTAGAATCAAGAACAATAGTTGATGCAACATAACAAGGTTGTCATAAACTATAAGAGCCTGAAATACTTCTTCCCCTATAAAAGTTTAAGTTTGAGCATGAAGTAACGTATATGGTTGAAATTGGTAAATGATTATGACGATAAGATATTATACCATTCGGGTGGAGCAAATGTGGTTGCAAACGCTCTTATTAATAGGACAACTCATTGATTTGCCTTGATCACCCATTAAGCTCACACAAATTCAGATATAAAACGTGCAGAAATAGTAGTTGTAGTGAAAGTTACCTCGCAGTTAGTCCAGTTATCGATGTGGGATCTCACAATAAAAAGTATTTAAGTTGGTCAGACCGCCATGTGACCATCCCAACAGAACATAGTCTGCTAAGAACGATTCTCTACGACTGCAGGATTGAAGGTCATGGAGCCATTAATCACGCTTTAACCGCAGGGCAATTGTTCATCCATCGGACTTTGGTTCTTGTCTCCTTAGAACTCAAAGACATAGTTGTGCAACCCATAGAACATATACCGCATTGGTTGGAGAGGGGAACAAAGCATTTTTTATAAAGGTGTGGAAATCTTTTCTTAGCAGACACGTTTTAAAATCGTGAGGCTGACGGGGTGATATGTAACAGGCTTAAAGCGGACAATATTTGCTAGCGGTGGGCTTAGGCTGTTAAAAATGGTATTAGAGTTATACACCGGTTGGTGTGCCAGCGAGGTCACTGGTACACAAGGGGAGTGGATGGTGAGATTTCACATTAGTTGGACAGGGGGAGCGAATCATTCCTTATAATGGTGTGGAAACCTCTCACTAATAGACACGTCTTAAAATTGTGAGATTGACGACGATATGTAATAGGCCAAAACGGTGGACGTGGGATGTTAAAGTGTCCCTCACGGTTCTCCTTTCTCATTTTTTTTGTCCCTCTCACAATCTCTCTCTCTCTATATAGTGTTGGTTTCTCGTGATCTTTCTTCTCTTGCAACATTCACACTTTCTCAACATGCACTATGTTCGACGATTGCTTGATTCGAACTTAGATCGAGCCTAAATTGGACTTGGGTCGAATTTAGGGTTTGGGCACGTTGATGAGGTTGAGTTTGTAAATGCCTCGTACCCTTTTCTCTCTTGTGGGATAATGGCTTGCCAAACTATTCCAACCACGACGATTCTTATTTTAATTTGCTTTGTACATTTTGTGTAAAAAGCTACTTCTTTTTAGTGTTTACTATCACTTTTGTTTATAGAATATTATACAAAAGTGGATCGAGAAATTTGAACTTGTAATCTCTCAAAGTAACTCAAAACTTGACTTGAAATTATGTTTCTTTTTATTAGGAAACTCTAGCTATTGTCAGCTTAAGCATAGTTCATTTTCTATGGGCACATGTCATTGACCGAGAGGTTAGAGGTCAGATATTCTAATCTTTTGTCACTAAGAGGTTAGAGATCATCAAATTTTGAATGAAAGCATAAATAGGGTTCAAATTGAAATTATAACTAAAGGATAAGGATCAAAGTTAAAAATCTAACTTTTCTTTATTTCAAATTTAGAGAATCTTGTTGATTGAGGCTGTGCTTTTAAAAATCTACCTTTGTTTTAAAACTTTCCATTTTCCCCCTTGTGAAATTGGCAATACAATAAGCACACACTATTTTATGGCCTTTAAGTGTTTAATTTATCCTTTTGAGGGGCAAAAGTCAAAAAAGCCCTCGTAAGTGTTCGATTGGGACAGGTTAATAAGTGATTTATTTTTTGAGTTCCACAATTACAAGGTAATGAATTGAACGGTTGATCTTTGAGATGATAATTAAAGATAATTAGTGTCTTATCCACCAAACTATATTTGAATGAACTATATTTGAATGGAGATAGAGGACGGAGTAGATCCAGTTGCAAAAAAAAGCATAAATGAAGGCAGATTAAGCCAATGCACCGACAAGATAAAGGGGTTTAAACCGAACTTTAACAGAGAAACAAAGAGAAAAGGAACCAAAGAGAAAAGAAAAGGCCACCAAAAGAATTGCAAGTGCTTGGAATTGGGCATAAAAAAAAAATGTGTGTTTGGTTAGGCCCCACAAGAAAGCTCTCTCTCTAAGATACCCTGTCCCTTTCGCTCTATTCTCTACGAGTTGTATTGCTTAGGTAACACACCCTAAATTAATCCCATATTCTCTTATTAAATCATCTATATTTTTTAGTAATTTTTTTTTTTTTTTTTTTTTTGTCGAGATCAACTCAATTAAGGAATCGAAAGATTTGAATATATGAACTTTAAAAAATTAACATTATTGATAAAATATAATTATAAAAATAATCGAATGAAATAAAGAAGTTATGGGAAAACAAAACATTAATTATAAAGGTGTGGAAATCTCTCTTTAGTAGACACGTTTTCAAATTGTGAAGCTGACAATGATACGTAACGAGTCGAAGCGGACAATATTTGCTAGCGGTGAGTTTAGATTGTTAGAAATGGTATCAGAAACACCAGACAGTATGCCAGCAAGGATGCTAGGCTCCCAAGGGAGGATGAATTGTGAGGTCCGGTTGGAGAGGGGAACAAAACCTTACTTAAGGGTGTGAAAACTTCTCCTTAGTAGACGCATTTTAAAACCATGAAGCTGACACAATACGTAACAAGTCAAAACGGACAATATTTGTTAGTGGTAAGTATGGGCTATTACAAAATCGGTCCTCTAACTTTCATGAAAATAACAATTTAGTCCCTAAACCAATTTTAAATCGTCTTAATTTTTTTTAACAATCTAGTCGTCAAACCTGATATCTAATAATTTAGTTTCTCAACTTTAAATTTTATATTTTTATTATTATTATTATGTAGATCAATAAAATGAAGTTAGGGACGGTTTATAAGCTATAAGGTGTAAATTGCTAAGTTATGATGAATTTTTGTAGGATAGGATTATATTTTTGTCACGTTGATATGATCTGATATTTCGTCTTGTTAAGAATGATACTCTGATACCATGTTAAGAATGAGAAACATAAGTGAGATTGAAAGCTCGAGAAGCATAGGTGGGATCAAAAGTCCGAGAAACATCGGTCGTATCAAAAGTCCTTAAAAATAAGAGAAAATATTATATTAGCCAAATTCGGAAGATAAGATAAAATATATCAAATATAAAGTCATGATTACAACTATATAAAATATATTTCAATACGTCTAATTCGAATTACCTATCTCTACAATTTGGTTCGGTTTGCGAGATTATTTTTTTTGTTAGGTTAATCTGACAAACTCGAAACCTATCCTTTCTTTAAAAATGAAGAATTTTTAACGTTTGTAACCAATATTAGTGATGCTCTGTGAATTGTAAATATATGATATTTGAACTTTATGAAAATTTAGTTATTAATGTAATATGGATTGTGGAGGGAGTAGGATTTTGTTTTTAAAATAATTTAAAAGTCAACTCAACAACCGAACTTTATCCAATCTGAAATAGAGGAATAAATAATGAGATGTGATCATGCGACGAACGAAAGTGAACATGGGTCCTTACCGCTAAGGTATTTTTATATATATATATATGCCAAGCCATTTTCTTAACCTATCGAGTTATGCATGTGTACAATATGCATGTACACGTATATATCTATATAGAAAAAAGTTGAGTTTTATGTTCCGCTGATACGTCGATTTTGTGGGTCATGTATACAGATGGCTTGCTCGTAGGGTTAGAACAAGTGTCGCACAATCGCCAATTCATTGTCAATAAAAGTGCAATTGAGACACTTTATTTAGAGTAATCCTATGATGCGTTACCTCTTAGAAATTTTCCTAAGAAGCATGTGAGTCAAGATAAAACATGTTGAAAAGACTCGTGCTCGTATGCGGGAATAATATTCACTCTTAAAAACGTAAAGTAAGTAATATAATTTAAAGCAAAAAGTAAATAGCGCGACCATGTCAATATGCAAGCGTGTCGAGGTACCTCACTTTTCTTTCTATTCAAATCAAATTCTTTTTCAATACCATTTTCTCATTATATAATGAATTTAAGTATTTGTATATTGTCACAACCTCGTTCTCTAGTTTTTTTCGAAAGAATCCATAATCAATTATGTAATTTATAAACATATATTCTCTTGAAGAGATATCCGATGCCACTATCAAGGATCAAAATGATTAGGAACACTATAAAAAAAAGCGGAAAGAACAAGTATATCTTTAGGTTCTCTCGAGCGCCGTCAGAAATTTGACAATTTAGTCTTCTATAATGTTGTCATCTTTTCCTTTTTCTATTCGAGGTCGACTCCTCAGC